TCTTTTCCATAAATATATTGTTGTTAAAACCTCTGGTGGTAGCGAGTCTTCCAGTCTTCTTTACTAGGTGATCTGGTGTACAGCGTTACACAATAATGAGTAACACTTTATTACTCTTTACGTTATATGCTTAAGCTTTTTTTGGTTTTATTGTGAATTCTATTTACTTTGTTTACTTTCCATCTTTGCATCGTTAGAATTGCTTTCAGCATTGCTGGTGCCAGCTGACACTTGACCACTTTTCTTTGCATTCTCATTGGTAGATTCTTTTTTGGCTACTACTGCCTGCTCGTTTGAAGACGACTTGCAGGTTTCTGCACTTCGTTGTGGAGTGACGGTTGGTGTACCTTGTGTCTTCTTTACATCTTCTTGCGTTCGCATAGATCCTGGGGCTGCTTCTTCCGTTGACGCACCTTTGGTTTTTGTAACAGGCTTGACACCTCTTTTGAAGGTGAGCACACGACATTCTAATCGGCTGACATAAGAACATTTAGAAAACATCTTAACTATATGTTACCAAAAGCCAGAACCTGTTGACAATAAGAACACCAGCTTGATTATCAAGTTCTCCACAATAGCATGGAGCCGAGAATATGGTCAAGCACTTTCGATCCGCGAAAAATTCGTATCTGAATTTTTGGAATAAATGAAAGCTCGTGCTAAACTAAGCCAAAACTAACCCATCTATTACACACTGGTGCGCTCTGCAAATCAGGTCGATATTCAGAGAAGCGCAAAAATTAGCCACTGCTTTTATTCCAAAAACCTAATGATAGGTTGAAAAATGAAAAGTTGACCAAATCCTGCTCTTGATAATTACATCTTCAACATACAGTGCATTTTCATAACTGTAGACAAACCTTTAAAAATTTCTTCTCAACCCCTCGCTTATTATCTATCCACTTAAACTGATCTGCAAGAGTATCTATTGTACCAATAACTTATTATATCCTTGACTGTGGAAAAATCAGCCGCTCAGTAGGAAAGAAACTTTTCTTTTTCCATGGTTGTGGTAAGCGAGGAGCTAAGATGACAATAGCAGTGTTTTTTTTAAGGATACCATTTTGAAAATTGCAATGTTTGAGCAAATATAAGGAAACATAACATCTGCTCATATTAGATACAACAAGGAGATACTACTTGTTGCAAGGTAATGTATGTGTAAGTCCACAATAATGTGAGGGTTGCTTGCATGGTCATTAAAGGAGATAAAGATTTTGAGCTTTCATCAAATACTGATGGCCTGTCTCTCATTAAGCTATTTCCCAAATTGAAGTAGATAGTTCGTCATTCTAGAGAGAAAATCGGGACGTTTA